ATGTTTCCTTGCCTTCCTTCTTTCCTTTTCTCCTTTCTCACCTTGTCTTCTGTTGTCTCCTCCACATTTCCTCTCCTTCTTTCCTTTTGTCTCGTCTTGTCTCCTTTCTCATGTCTTTGTCCTCTCTTGTCTCCCCTCTTTTCCATGTTTCCTCTCCTATTTCGTCTCCTCTTCGTCTTTCCTTTTCTATTGTCTTTCCTCCTCTTTCACCTCCTTGTCTCCTCTACTCTTCCTCTCTTTTCTATCCTTCCCTCTCCTCCTTTATTCATATTTTCCTTGTTTCCTCCCCCCATTTCCTCCTCTCGTATCTGCTGTTGGTTTTTTAAACAAACTCAAACCGCTGATGTCGTGTCGTTGTGTTTCCTCGTTTCTTTCCCATGATTCATAGTGACAGTGTAAACCTGGATCTCGTGCTGTGGTGTTTATGATGTCTTGTATGTATCTGTGGGTTTTTTTGTATGTGTTGGTTTTTTTTCCACATCTCTTTGTTTTGTCTCTTTATTTCCTCATCCTGTTTCCTTCCACCCTATCCTCTCCTCTTTTCTCCTTTCCTTGTCTCCCTTTCTCTCCAACAGAAACTCATCTGATCATGTTAAAGTAGGATTGTAAAAGCTGAAGCCTCTGTGAACTCGTGACGAGGTTTTCAGTTGTGGACGAGCGAATGAAAGACGACCCACGTGTCGTCTCTGAGGCTGAAGACACATTGAGCTCTTTAATGGATGCAGATTTAAAAAGATGAAAACTGAGATGAGAAATGAGGGAGATGAGTTATTTATTTGGAGCAGAGGAGTGATGAGTCCTGGTCATCAACTGTGAAGTGATTGTGTCTGATTAAGAGAGCATCTGAGAACCACGAGGACACAAACAACATGCTAATGAGTTTAGCTCCTGCTGAGTTCTGACTGAATATTAATGTTCACCTTGGACGCACTGATCTGATGCCGAGTGTATCTGAGCTGATGGTGACCTCATTAAGCTCAGGTACAACCCAAGAACAGGAACAATCCATTAACTGTAAAATAAAACAGAGTGTTTCTGATATTCATTCAGTAATGACGGTTTTATAGGCAGCAGTTGGGTGTTTTGTAGCAACCTGTCACTGTGTTACCTGTGGCTTTTTAGACAAAAAACATGGGTGCTTTGTAGCTACCTGTCACTAAATTTCCTGCAGCATTTTAAGCACCAAATGTGGGTGTTTTATAGCAACCTGTCACTCGGTTTCTATATGCTTTTTTGGATGTTTTGTAGCAACCTGTCACTGTGTTACCTGTGGCTTTTTAGACAAAAAACATGGGTGCTTTGTAGCAACCTGTCACGAGATTTCCTTAGACATTTTAGGCATCAAACATGGGTGTTTTGTAGCTACCTGTCACTAAATTTTCTGCAGCATTTTAAGCACTAAATGTGGGTGTTTTATAGCAACCTGTCACTCGGTTCCTAACTGCTTTTTGGGACGTTTTGTAGCAACCTGTCACTGTGTTTCCTGCAGCTTTTTAAGCACTAAACATGGGTGTTTAATAGCAACCTATCATCTCATTCCCTGCAGCTTTTTAGGCATCAGATTTGGGTGTTTTGAAGCAACCTGTGTTTACAGCAGCTTTTTAGGGCAACAAATGTGTGCTTTGTGCCAACCTGTCACTGTGCTTGCAGCTATGTTTTAGACTTCAAACATGGGTGTTTTGTAGCAACCTGTCACTGTGTTCCCAAACCAAACCACATGTTGACCACAGCGTTGTTGAAACAAACAAAACCACAACATATCAACGTGCAAATGTAACATATCCATGGTTTGTAGAAACGTAACGATGTGCCGATTGGTTTGGTTCAGTCTGTTGAGAATACAGCATTTATATTCTTTCAATCATTTATTTTAATATCCTAATAATGTATGACATATTTGATTGATATAAAGATACACAATGCAGGAAAATTAAGAATTAGAATTAGCAGTCATAACTCAGGGACATAGGGGAGACGGCTAAAACAAGGCAACAAATTGAGGTAAAGAACAGACATGTAGAAAATAGAAGTAACAGATGTATTTATAAATATATATGTGAATATATATTTAAAAAGGCAGCGATGCATTCCTGCACTCAGTGTCGTTTTCTTTCTTTGGTTGAAGAACCTCTGACTCCATGTGCCTAAACATGTTTCCATCTCGTCCTGGCTCTCCATCACGCCATCAGCAGTCCACTGATTGGTCATACTACATTAGAGCTGCTGCACAACACACACACACACACACACACACTCACTCACTCACTCTGCGTCTGTGTCCGCCTCACACACGTTTCTGAGGAGTGTTTAAATGTCAGAAGCCCCGAGCGATACATCGTCATTTACACTTTCTCTGGGTGTGTGTGTGTGTGTGGTCAAACAGCTGTGAAATAGACTCGCAGCTCTGTAAATTGGGTTCTGCTCTCTCAGATTAACACAACACAAGTACAAACATGGTCAAAGCAGGAGAGCTGCAGCCAATGCAACTTCAAAAGCACTTTCTCTCCCCGTATCTTTCCCTCTCAGAGAGCGCAGCCGTGCAGGTGCCGTGTAACATCTCAATTATTTCCAATATCCGACCTATAACAGCGCCAGAAAACACCACATCAGTCCCCACACCGCTGCTCATACATGTGCAGCAGCGGAGGGTGTGTGTTCTGTGTTTGTTATAGCTGTTTGCAGTGTGTCCGCCGCTCTCAAATCACCTGTCGACTGGAATCTGAAAGCATGATGTGAAGATTCACAGTGAGGGAGTGTGTGAATGCTCCAAGCAGATAAAGAGGAAACGAGAGGGGAGGGGGAGGGGGAGATAAGAGGATAATACAGAAGTGTGTTAAATAGCAGTGGCAGAAGAAAGAGCACTGGAACATTAAAGTATGTTTCAGACAAGAGTGTTGCAAATTGATTGGAGGGAAAGGCTAGGCGTGACAGAGTATTTGTGAATATGGAGCTGGGTGTGAGTGTTTGTGACAAAGGCAGCTCCCAAAGAAGTTAATTGTTTGTAGACGTGAAAGAAACAGCAGTCAGAAACCGGAGTCAATGCCCGACGGCTGTAGGTTACCGTCTCCATCCATGTCAGTGAAAACATGGATGCTTCACACACAGAAGATCTATACAATCAGCACAGTTTAAAGATTAGAGTCACCAATTCAGTATCTGACCAAATGTCTTTGGTCTTATACATTTGTGTCAAGTTTGGTCAGAATCAGTATATGAATTTTTGAGTTATGGCCAAAATTCTATTTTGTGAGGTTACAGTGACCTTTGAACCCCAAATTCTTCATTGTTGAGTCCAAGTGGACGTTTGTGCCAAATTTGAAGAAATTCCCTGACATAGTTCTTGAGATATCACGTTGACCAGAATGGTCCAATGTTGCATTCACAAGAATAGACAGACAAAGTCACAGTCACCTTGACCTTTGACCACCAAATTCTAATCAGTTCAATGTTGAGTCCACGTGGATGTTTGTGCCAAATTTGAAGAAATTCCCTCAAGGCTTGTTGAGATATTGCTTTTACGAGAAAGAGGCGGCAAGTGACATTGACCTTGGCCTTTACCCACCAAAATGTCCTCAGTTCATTGTTGAGTCCATGTGGACATTTGTGCCAAATTGTAAAACAAAAATTTCACTCAAGGCATTCCTAAGATACCTAAGATAAGCCTCATAAGATAACACTTTCGAAAGAATGAGACAGAGGAGGTCGCAGAGACCTTGACCTTTGGCCTACGCTCAACAAAATCCAGTTAGTTCATTGTTGCATCCAAATGGGCGGAGCACTGTGGGTCGGAATAGCCAGAAACCCATGCTGTCTTGTATACAGCAGAACATCCTGGTATTTTTGGCATACTGCATTTGACAAAATATATACTGGGACATACTAAATATTTTCCTGCCATACTAAATAATGTGGTAGTGTGAGAACACACAGCATGTTTAGGGATAAAACACTCATGTTTGGTGACACAAAAGCTGCTGGAAAAGCAGGGACAGGTCGAAGACATACACCCAGGTTTGGTGGTGGAAATGCTGCAAAAGGTTAACCAACAACAACTGGTTTGGTTGATATTTTGTGATGGTTATTGTGAGGTCAGCCTTAGGCACAAAAAACACTTGGTACAGTAATGTTCATGTTTGGCTTAAAATACCCAGTTTTGGTGGCACAATCCCCGCTGGAAACACAGTGATGACTCACTAAATCACCACCAGTTTTGTTGTTTGTTGGCCTGGAACTGAGGTCTGCAGCTTGGAAGCCGACTCCATTGAGCCACAATCCCAGCAGGAAAAGCAGCGATGTCTCTGTAACTAAAACAGTGACGTGACACTATGAAACACTCACATTTGGGGCCTAAACAGCTGCTAAAAATCCAGCAATGACTTAAACACAAACTAGTTTTGTTGTTTGTTGGTCTTGAGCAGTGGTTATACTTGTATGCTACATCACTTTAGAAACGTTGATACGATACATATGTTATGTATTCATGGTTTGCAGAAACGTGCAATGCCAATATATTGTTCTGGTGATCTGGAACCTTTAATGTCTGACACATTGTCTGATACCGACGTGTATGTGACAATATGGACGATAAAAACATAATGAAAAATGAACACACTGGTTTTCTCTCTGCCCTGAGAATAATGAGAAATGTGCTGCAGTGCATGGGAATTTTGGAAGGAAAACAGGTTTTCATGAAAGGGACGCTTCAGTTGAAGTCTCTCTCTCTCTCTCACACACACACACACACACACACACACACACACAGTCGTAATTACAAAGACACGCATTCATTCACACACTCACAGATGGGGAGAGCCGTTCAGTTCATCTTAATCAGCGGGAGAGCCACCGAGATTTGTATTCTTCTTGGTAATCCCCCCCAACATCCCAGAGACTATCACTCACTGCTGCTGCAACCTTGATAAGTGTGTGTCAGGCGGCTCAATCTGCTCCAAAACACACACACACACACACACACACACACACACACACCGCAGCGGTACCTGAGATGATGGAGGCATGTCGGAATTCCTCTGAGAAATGAATCGGCTCGTAGGGAGATGTCTCGTAAAACTCTTCCCCTAAAAAACAAGAGAAAACAGAAAAGTGTTCAGCTGGAGAACACAGACACATACACACAGACACACACACACACGCAGCAGCCTCGTCTGCGTTGCCAGGTACACACCTGACCATCTGGCTCTACCTGGAAACTACCTTCAAAGTCAAATTGTCCGTGCTGTCGTGTAAAAACGCTCACAGCAGCAATCTTCGATTTTATTTCAGCTCCAAAAATACATCAGGGACTGTAGGAAATTTATTACAGCGGGGGAGGGAGGCTGAATCTGATATTTCATATACAGATGAATTACCACATCATAGTTTTACCAGTCCAGTGTCTCTGACAGTCTCCATCCATGTCAGTGAAAACATGGATGCTTCACACACAGAAGATCTATACAATCAGCACAGTTTCAAGATTAGAGTCACCAATTCAGTATCTGACCAAATGTCTCCCCTTCTGTTCCTGAGATATGACGTTAAAACATGATGATGTCACAGTCAAGCTGACCTTTGACCTTTTGACCTTCATTATTTTATCCTGTTAGACATTTGTGTCAAGTTTGGTCAGAATTAGTGAATGAATTATTCAGTTATGGACAAAAACATATTTTGTGAGGTCAGACTGACCTTTGAACCCCAAATTTTATTGTTGAGTCGTGGACGTTCGTGCCAAAGTTGAAGAAATTCTCCCATGTAGTTTTTGAACTATCACACTCACAAGAATGAGATGGATGCAAGGTCACAGTGACTTTTAACTACGGAAATCTAATCCGTTGATCGTTAAATCCAAGTGGGTGTTTCTGCTAAATTTGAAAACCTATACTCAAAGTGTTCTTGAGATATCACATGCACAAGAATGAACAGACAAGGTCACAGTGACCTTGACCTTTGACCACAAAATTCTAATCAGTTCAGTCCAAGTGGACGTTTCTGCCAAATTTGAGGAAATTGCCTCAAGTTACAAGGTCACAGTGACCTTGACCTTTAGCCTTTGACCACCAACATCTGATCAGTTTATCGATGAGTCCCAGTGGACATTTGTGCAAAATTTAAAAACCTATACTCAAGTCCTTCTTGAGATATTGCATTCACAAAATGAGACGGACACAAGGTCACGGTGACCTTTGATCTAGGACCACCAATTTTTAATAAATTCATCCATGACTCAAAGTGGATGTTTGTGCCAAATTTGAAGAAATTCCCTCAAGTTGTTCTTGAGATATCACGTTCACAAAATAGGATGTATGAAAGGTCACAGTGACCTTTGACCTTTGACCACCAAAATCTAATCAGTTGATTGTTAAATCTAAGTGGACGTTTGTGCCAAACTTGAACAAATTCTCTAAAGGTATACTTGATATATCACATTGACAATGTGAGACAGACGAGGTCACAGTGACCTTAACCTTTGACCTATGACCACTGAGTGCACGTTTGTGCCAAATTTGAAAAAATTCCCTCACACGTTCTTGAAATGTTGAGTTCACGAGAATGGAACCGACGTAGAGACATGGAAAAACAGGAAAAAAGTAATTGAGGAATATATATGGAAAAATAAATATTTTAAAAATAAAAAATGAAATAAAATAAAAATCTATTCACACCTCCCAGTAATACAGATACTGTATGTCCATGATTACAGAGTCCCCAGCAGGTTATTTATTTAACCCTGTAAAACCCACTGTTGCAAATTTACAACGTCACTTTTAACAATTCTAAAAAAAAGGCCTTCAAATGTTTTTTTTTCTCAAGACCACATTTACATAGTTAATGGGTCCTCACAATGCTATTGGATAGAAGAAGTGTTTATAGGTCTGGTCATCTGGCCATGAACTCACTCTACCTGCAAACTTCCCGTTGAGCTCATCTCCTTTTTTTGCATGACTGGATTTGTCAGGATTAAAGTAAGTAGAATTCCTTAAATATTTTTTTTTGTGTTCGTTACAATGTCTAGAACATGTACATATTTAGTTATTTTGGAAAACATTCATCAAATTTGATTTATAGCTTGTTATGTCTATGTTGTAATTCTACAACGTTGGGTCAGTGTGGTAGTCAAAATAGCCTGTGCTCCCTTACACATTACATAAGGTCACTGCACTTCTCACATGGTCACAAATTGAAAAAAAATGTAGTAGAAATTTCAAGTATTAGATGATTCATTGTAACGAAGCTCTAAATGTGCTTTTCTGTTAAATTTTTACTTAGTTTAGCTTTACTTAGTTTTATTTGAAACTCCAACATCTATAGCAGTATTTGAAACTCCCTGTATCTTTGTAGTTTGTTTTCTAACTTCTAAATGATCCTGAGCTATTTTTCTCAGTGTTGCCCAAGCAGCAGTTTGTAGCATTAGGAGATAGAAAAACATGTTCTGAATGTTCTGGATTTGTTGGGGGGATGCCTGTTGCATTGTTCAGGGACAGGTGCGAATGGTCTTGAATGTGAACCTGTAAGTGCTCTGGGGGGGATGCACGTGTTCCTTTAGTGATTCAGTAACATCTAAAGAACTGCTTTGCCCATCACTACAGCAAAGTGTAACAACATCAGCTGGTTCAAACTAACTGATGAACAGAGGCTAATACAAAAGTGGTAAAGTGAGCTCAGCAGTGTGACATCATGTGGTATATAATATATATTTAAACAAGAGTTTAAACTGGAGAAGGATCTGTGGCATGAAAACAAAAAAGGCTGTTTGTAACTTTAGAGTAAATAACACCAGAAGTCCTGAAGTCAGTGAAGATGTGACGGGCTGGACAGAAACCAGAGGATCTGTAACCTCTGTGATGGTGATGACGATGATGATGATGGTGTGGGACATGAGTTTCATATTCAGTTTGAATGTCAGAATGAAGCTTAATGACTTCCAGAGAAAGGTATTAGCCAAAGTATTATTTGAACCGTCCATCTAAAGTCATCTGTTAACTGGGTGTTTTGTCTAAAGAACGTTCTTCCTCTGTTTGAGTAACATTGGTTGTACTTTGGCCACGC